ACCTGAAGTGAACCACAAAATGCTTTCTCCACCCCCAACCCCAGCCAGGGAAGAAGAAATGAACGAATATTTACCTCAGGAAAAAGTGGGGAATAAAGATCAACATCAGGATCTGCTAGTCCTGGGGGTCCTACCACCTGAGGCAGTAACCACATCTTGCCTCATGGGTGGGCCGGCCCTGCGATAGCAGGCTTATATTTCTGTTCAGAAGTAACCCCTATTGAGTTCAGTCGGGTCTATTTCCAGGTAAATGGGCCAAGGATTGCAGCTCATTAGAAGATGAGATGTGAAGAAGTGAAGCCAAAGTCAACAAGAGGCAAGTTGGGTTTGAGCAGGAATTTGAATGAAGCTGGTGATGAAGCTGGGCTTTCCTCTCCTCTCCTCCTCCCTGGGCACCACAAAAAACCTTCTCTGAAGGATTCCCCAATCCCATTTCCATTCAGGATGCCTCATATAGATGCCACCTGCTTCACAGAAGACAAGAATCCTTACAAAGCACTCTGTTTCCTCTTGGAATTTGTCTGAATTTGCTGCACAGCCCTATTTAATTGTCTACAGAAGCAGGTGCCTTTTGCTAATGTATCTGAAATCTGGTACATTAAAGGAATAACAGAAGGCCTGAAAAATTCATGATATTTGGATGGGAAATGCAAAAGTTACAAGCAAGAGAAATTCAGCTGGGCCTTCTGTTGTAATCAATAGAAAATGAAACTTTTAAAATGAAAACAAATGGATAAACAGAGCATTTTTCCTTGCACAATACTGATTATGGGTCAAAAACCTCCATACTGATAGCATCCATTTATTTTTCTGACATTAAACCACATTGCTCTTAATTTAAATTCTAGACCATCTACTACAGAAACTTGTGGTGATACCAAGGGACTTATACCTGTCCCATATTCTGAATAAACTAAACTAATATAAATTCTGTTTTATTTGTATTGGTCAAATATCATTTTTTTTCTTGCAATGCCATGTGTATGATAAAATGGCAGTTACTGCATTTTTAGATTGTAAAAAGTCCCATTTTTAAACCTTCATACATTAAGTTATCTACTTAATGCAATTAACAACATAATGCAACTTTAAATTAAATGTGGGTATCACTGTATCCCCCCCTCACAATGTACTACAGTTGCAGTAATTCTAGACCTTATTGCTCCATATAAATGTATCTCATCATTAGCTACTTACATTTCTTAAAATGATCATGGTTTAGCTTAATGGGAAGAAAGTGGAACAAATAGCTTACTTCAGGAAATAAATGTATTTTTGATCACTTAAATGCTACCTAAAATGGACAATCACAGCTTATTTCATGGCTCAAATAACAAAGAAAATTCCTTATACAGTAATTCATAATTGTGCTCATATGTTATAAAGGCCACTAGGTAACTTTATACTTAGACATCTTATTGGCTTATCATTCAAATAATCATCAAACTCTTCTTTTATTTAGTCCTTTAAAGGTTCACCTATGTTTATACTCAGAATTTCAGATTTATTTCTGTTAAAGTCAGAAATGGCTGGTGGCACAACATCTACAATAACAAAATCTCCCTAAAGTTGCATGCGGATCTTTCTGAAGTCCGTTTCACCTTTATGTTGTCATTAGTTCAATTAGTGGTTTTCAAAGTTGTTCCAGGAAAGCTAAGGCTCTTCAGTCAATTGAAATGTAATGGTAGACAAACTTCGTTTAAAGACAGTTTACCCACTACTACTGCTTTTCTTCATAATAGACCATTGGAAGAGTATGTGAGGTGTAACCAGTAGTGTGTGGTCAGTGGACTAGGGTACTAGGCTAGTCCCCTAAATGTTCCCAGAAAAATTAGAGTATTAAAGACTGGTGCCTCCTTCCCAAAGCCTGGGAAGCTTCAGCCCGGCTTAGGGAGGGAGGCGCGATGTTCCGACGGGATCCAAGAGCCCTTCCGCCACCTTCCCAGAGCCCATGATGGGACGGCACACCCCCATCACCCTTGCAAGCTGGCACCTCTGGCCCTAACTGTTCCCCTACAAAAAAATTCACCACACACCACTGTTACCTAAGACCCTTTAACTCAGTCGTCTCCAGTCTAATGCCCTCCAGATGTTTGGGCTACTACTCCCATCAGCCACAGCAACCAAAGTCCAAATACATCTGGAGGACACCAGGGTTGGGGAAGGCTGCCTAAACTGTTGACATCAAGGTTTGAACCTGGAGTCCTCTTCATGCAATGCATGTGCTCTGCAGACAGATGTTTCGTTAGTGAAAACATAACTGTGGCAATGATTGGTGAACCCTTAGATCAGGGGTCAGCAAACTTTTTCAACAGGGGGCTGGTCCACTGTCCCTCAGACCTTGTGGGGGGGGGGCGGACTATACAGTGGTACCTCAGGTTACAGATGCTTCAGGTTACAGACTCTGCTAACCCAGAAATAGTACCTCGGGTTAAGAACATTGCTTCAGGATGGGAACAGAAATTGCGCGGGGGCCACGCAATGGCAGTGGGAGGCCCCATTAGCTAAAGTGGTACCTCAGGTTAAGAACGTTTCAGGTTAAGAACGGACCTCCAGAACGAATTAAGTTCTTAACCCGAAGTACCACTGTATGTTGCCATGATTATGACCCACATTTTTGGCAAAAACCCTTGTTGGGACCAACCCCAACGTTGCCCAAATGTGATTTTTTTTTGGGGGGGGGGTGTTCCCTCATACACCCACACTGCTTCCTTTGTGTTTTATGTGTTGACAGTTATTATTTCTCTCGTAAGGGTTGGGTGGGGGCGGGGGGCTGAGGTAAGCGTGCCATTCCTGTCAGACCGGAAGAGCATGGGTGCATGCATGAGTGAAGGGGAAAGCCATTGGCCATGCTAAGTCAGGCCAGCGCCGCTCAAGCAAAAACATTCTTTGAAGGAAGATGAGGTGGCTGCTATTGACCTTTCCATGACTCACACCATGTAGCTAATGAGTGGCCTCACCAGCAGAGCACAGAACACCGGCGGTTGTTGCTCCTGAGGCGCCTCCGAGCCCCTGCCGCCGCAACTGCCCTTCCTGACGTCAGTCGCCAGCAGCTCCATGGTGAAAATCCAAACTGTGGCTCCTTTCCCCTCTTCCCCAGCCCCTACCCCGGAAGAAAAGATTGCTGTGCACGTGTGATGGACGGAGAAGGAGCTTGTCTTGAGCAGCCTCCCACCTCACTTTTGACCCCCAAGCCTGGCTGAGTCGCAAAAACCATCATGCGTGTGCACTATGCTGGCTGGATTCCCAGACCGTCTGCAGGCCAGATCTAAAAGCCAGTTGGGCCTGATCTGGCCCGCGGGCCTTTGTTTGCCGACCCATGCTTTAGATCACGTACAATCACTATTAACACTGCTGATTAATCACTATAAGCAAATGGTGGTAGTATGGAAGAAGTGATTCTAGGAGTTGCTACTGCTTTGTGATTCTTTACCCTCTCTTACTAGCTCCCCCCCTTTAAATACATGGCATATTATTTTCCTCAAATGACTTTAATCACACTGTCTGTTGACCCCATTCCGGCCAGCAGGGCTGGCTCTACCATCAGGCAGAGTGAGGCAGCTGCCTCAACTGACAGGTGCTGGGAAGACAGTGCACAGATTTGTAGTGAAGGCTTGGAGTTGTGTGCAACATGCCCTGTACCTCCTCAGCTGGCCAGCTGCCATCAGACACAGTGGTGGGGATTGTCCCATCACCAGTGTTGAAGAAGCAAAATTCAGCTGCCTTCTTGTCCTTTGTCTCAGGAAGCAAAATGTCTTGGGCCAGCCCTGCTGGTCAGCCAGTGTGATAAGGGGAGCATATGAGAAATGTATGAGGCATTGCATGGAAGAGAGAGGGAGAGAGAAGTCCAAGAAATGGCAACAGCTCTCTACCTCATAATGTCTAGTTAGACCCTGAATTATTAGAGTCACAGGATCAATTACTGGACAGGAAAAAGGCTGCCCTTTCTGTGAGCCAACCTGGATTTCCAAATATTTGTTTCATTGATTCCCGATAGGAGCAGAGATTTTGGAGAGCTTAAAATGCCTGAAGTGAGTGAAATAGTTTATCTTCCCCTAACTCATTGCTGAATCTCTCTAGCTTTCAAAAGCCTCTTCCTGCAGCATTGAGAATGGACAAAGCAAGTATGATAATAATAAGGACTGCAAGCTTTATCTGCTTGAAGTTCTGTATTGCCATCCTTCAGGACACGGAAATTTCATTTGTAGGGCGCAACCTACAACCTACAGGTGACCACAGTGCCTGGAGACAGACAGTCAGGTCATGTATCCAATAGTGACCAGAGGAGAAATTGCCTCTGGGAGGAGCGCAGAGAGAAGAAACGACATGGTGCATCTACAGCAGCACAACTGGACACCTTCATCTGCCCCAGCTGCAACACAACATGTCTCTCCCCTATCGGTTACAGCCACAGCAGGCGCTGCAACCTTCCAACAGTTTGACTCCACCCCCAAAGGTGCACTCCTCCATTGTCTCCTGAGATAGACAGATGCCAACTGGTGCTACTTGTGTTGTATTTGCTGGTACCAGAAAGGCCTAGGAAGAAAGACAGATTGCTATCCAGTTGGGATGAAGCCATTTCCTTAAATACTTTTCAAGTTTCAAAATGCACAGAGAACAACCATTTTCTAACAATTTTGAGGAGGGACGGTTCGCGTCATACTTCAAAACCCCATTCTTAGAAACATATAATCAAGAGCAATTTGGGAGGAGTAGCATATCTTTAAAATGTTGTGATTTTTAAATATATAAATAAATCAACTGACAGTAACTACAGGCAGTTAGTAATATCAATCACCATAATGAACCACATCACTTATAAAGATTAGAACACTGGAGCCACGCCTTATGTTGAGTAAGACCATCATCACCATCAAATCTTTATTACAGTCATAGACCAGCATAGAGTAAGACCTTTGGCCCATCTGCCTCAGCATTGACTTATATTGACTCAACATTATGTTACAGGGTTTCAGATGGGAATTTATCCAAGCCCTATTTGCAGATGCCAGGGATTGAACATGGGACCTTCTGCACGAAAAACAGACCCCTCTACCACTGAGCTACATCCTTTCCCCAACCTTAACTAATGTTAAGGTGTGACGTGACTCACACTATCTAGGGCAGATGTGGCAAAAGTGTGGGAGATTTGCAGTCAAACCTAACAATGCCTATTTACTAGTTAGCATATGAAAGGGTTAAGGACCACGGGATTCTAATTGCTAGAGTAGGCTCTGTTAGGTCAAACCCCTTCTTCTCCTGGGAGGGAGAAAGTAATGCCCAGTTCCTGTTTCCTCTCTCTCCCCCCAATGCTACAGGCCATGGAGGCAGATGTGCCTCTAAATACCTCCCAGCTTCAGACACAGGCCTCAAGCTACCTTGCTGTAACTTCTCCCCAAGGATATTTTTGCCTGAGTTGTCTTTGCTGTGGCTTTGAATGATGCATGAATTGGACCTTGGTTTATACAGTGGTACCTCTGGTTGTGAACAGGATCCGTTCTGGACCCCCGTTCACAACCTGAAAGGAACGCAACCCGCGTCTGCGTGTATGCGCACACGCGGGTCACGATTCGCTGCTTCTGCGCATGCGCATGATGTCGTTTTGTGCGTCTGCGCATGCGCGAGCGGCGAAACCTGGAAGTAACCCTTTCCAGTACTTCCTGAAAAGACATAACTTGAACCAAACGTAACAAGAAGTATGACTGTACAGTGGTCCCTCGGGTTACAAACGCTTCAGGTTACATACGCTTCAGGTTACAGACTCTGCTAACCCAGAAATATTATCTCAAGTTAAGAACTTTGCTTCAGGATGAGAACAGAAATCGTGCTCCGGCAATGTGGCAGCAGCAGGAGGCCCCGTTAGCTAAAGTGGTGCTTCAGGTTAAGAACAGTTTCAGGTTAAGAACAGACCTCCGGAATGAATTAAGTATTTAACCCAAGGTACCACTGTATAAGTAAAGCTTTTAAGCAGGGATCAGCAAACTTTTTCAGCAGGGGAGTGGTCCACTGTCCTTCAGACCTTGTGAGGGGCCGGACTAAATTTTGAAGGGGGGGAAATGAACAAATTCCTATGCCCCACAAGTAACCCAGAGATGCATTTTAAACAAAAGGACACATTCTACTCATGTAAAAAACATGCTGATTCCCAGACCGTCCGCGGGCCGGATTTAGCAGGCGATTGGGCTGGATCTGGCCCCCAGGCCTTAGTTTACCTACCCATGCTTTTATGCATACTCAAGTGCAGAAGGGGTAAAAGGGATGAACTGCCTCAAGCAGCTGAAGGGTTTAATAGTTTATATTTCTGGCACCATACGGCTGCATAACTTTGAGATTTAAACTCTCAGGGCTTCACTAGACAGGTCAAGAAATATGTGCTTAACCTGTGCAGGTGCCAGGGATGTTGAAATTGTGAAATTGGGGTAAACTTCAGCTTCTGTTTCAAGGTGGCCGAATTTTCAAGAAATGCCCATCGCTATCTGCAGGCTCCTTGAAATTGGCAATCTAGTACAGCTGCAATCCACCCCAGGTTTCATTCTACCATTTCATTGTTATAATCACCTCATTTTGATATTCCACTTAGGTATCAAAATTCAAATGCCCAAACTAATTTTAAGCACATTAAGGGAAGCCTTTTATTACTGGAGAAAATCAAATTTTACACATGACATATCATATAGTGAATTCTGTAATTCTGGCAAATTAAACTACGATGGCCATAATGTAATGGGCTGAAGCGTTGCTGATATCTCCCAATAAATACATTCTAAGAAGGGGGGGGAAAGGTAATAATATAGAAGAGGGGAGTTGTTAAAAAAAATCCTTTTCAGTATATTGCCGGAGAAGCAATTTTTAAAAACAAAATCCTATTACTTTGAGTATCATAGGGAATAGAAGGAATTCAATTCAGTGTATAGGCGTCTTTACATTTATTACAAACAAAACACGGATTAGGCTGGAAATATATGGGTTTGTGGACATGTATAAGTTCTGCTGACTATGAGGCCCTTTTAAAAATGGGACGGAGGCAGGAATACATTCGGAGCGACTGGTAAAAGAGCAGCGCTAGAGAAATGTATTCAAGACAGTGCTGTGGTCTTAAATTGCTTCTGCTAGTGCTTTAGCTACAAGTATCTTGAAGCAGAATTGTAGTGAGATAAGTGGATGATGGCACTTGGAAGTGGCGGTGCTGTGATGAAACACCGGCTTGTCTTGTGGGACAAGTGTGCTTAAGGCCACACATTGCACCACACATTTAAAACACGGTTATAGCCAGTGTGGTGTAGTGGTTAAGAGCGGTGGACTCGAAATCTGGTGAACTGGGTTCGATTCCCCGCTCCTCCACATGCAGCTGCTGGGTGACCTTGGGCCAGTCACACTTCTCTGAAGTCTCTCAGCCCCACTCACCTCACAGAGTGTTTGTTGTGGGGGAAGAAGGGAAAGGAGAATGTAAGCCGCTTTGAGACTCCTTCGGGTAGTGATAAAGCGGGATATCAAATCCAAACTCCTCCTCCTCTTTAATAGGCATGACTTCCCCCAAAGAATTCTGGGACTAGTAGCTGAGCATCACCAGTAGACCCCTATTCCCCCCATACAACAACAATTCCCAGAGTTCCCTAGGAAGAGTTCCCATTGTTCAATCGCCCTGCAGGGCAGAGGTTGGCCAACCCTCCATGGGCCAAATACTATTGGTGGGTGTAGCCAAAAGTGCATGTAGCTGTCCCATTCTAGCACCTGTTGCATTCTTGGACGCACACAGAGGCAATAGTGGCTGGTGAGATAGTGTGGTTGGGGCTTTGCTTGTCTCCTAGTTTTCCAACACAGTGGGTCACTGGGGTTTACCAAGCAGGAGGGGTGAGGCTCTGGGCGCTTGTTGCATTAGGGTGGAGCCAACCCACTGCACCTGCTTCAACATGATGTAAAATGCCAAACTCTCCATTCCCTGCCCCTCTCTTCTGCCTCTTATGTATTCAGTTTGGCTGAATATCGGATGTCTGTTCTTGCATTTCCAAACCCCTTAATTCCAGTTGATTCCAGGAAGGGCATAAAATTTGACTTGAGCAAGCCTGGAGTCTCAATTTTTGATGTCTCTTTCCTGCACCCCCATTTCCAGTGGACAGGCATGCCAACTCTAGGGTGCCAAAGGTACTCAATATTTTTTTTAAGGGAGCTGGGCCTCCTCAAACTTGAGGTAGACTTCCATGCGCTGACTGTGTCTGATGTCATGTGCATGACACGCATTGCAGGCCCAGTGGCCGACTCCTTCAGGGTCCACGGCCTCCTCCATCGTGTGTGCATCTTCACACATGCATGACACATATGACACGTGTGACGATGTGCAGGGGGCAACCTGGCATCTGGTAAAGCCTTGCTGCACCCGAGGGAATAATATTTTTGACTTCTTTTTGGAGTTGCTTTGGTGCTAAGGGTCTTTGCTTGCACCACTGTATTCCAGAAACGCCACAGGGAAGCAAAGGTACAAGTCTTCCTATCAGTTCTGCCAGCTTTTCAACTTCATTGCTGTACTCCTCCCCTCCGTCTCCTTTTTGCTAGCTGCAGCAATCACCGGATAACCTTCCTGACTGGCATATCACTTCTTATCTCTTTTTCCCTCCCTCACCATGTTGTTTACTTTCTTAATAAAAACACATTTTCTGGAAAAGCTCTGATCTTACAACTGCTTCCCCCCAAAGTACCTTATGGGGTCATTCTGCTATCCAGACTTCAGCCCAGAGTAGTAGCCTATCTTCCAATAGAATAGAGATAGGGTCTCACTGAGTAATTGTTTCCCTAGCAAGTCTGAGCCAAATGCTTCCCCCTTCAGTCATTCGTGTTTTGGAAGGGTTTATTGCATGTTGAAGCCCCGAGCCCCAAAGTTCTCTTAGATAATAAACACATGGACACAAATATTTTAGGTTAATGGGATAAAATAGGCCACAACTTTATTGGTTACTGATGTGAGCGGTTTGGCTTAGGCATTGGGTGAAACCGGACTATATCACAACTCCTGCCCATCTGCAGGGAGTTTCACTAAGGGTAAACCACCAGTAGGGGGAGCCCTATGACATATGTCAAATTGGGGCACCCCGCAGGGTCCCCGTTGGGGTCGTGGCATGGCCTTAGCCCATACCCAGGCTTCAGGCAGGATCCACCCACCCCAAATCCCTTTAACAGGATACCCTTATCGAGGAGGGGCAGGTGGAGGCTACAACCTCCCCTCCCATAAACAAAGGCTTACCCAATGCCTAACCTTACAAAGTTGTGGCAATTGCTACAAGGTAGGCGAAAACCAAGGGACGCGGGTGGCGCTGTGGGTTAAACCACAGAGCCTTGGGCTTGCCGATCAGAAGGTTGGCGGTTCGAATCCCCGCGACGGGGTGAGCTCCCGTTGCTCAGTCTCAGCTCCTGCCAACCTAGCAGTTCAAAAGCACATCAAAGTGCAAGTAGATAAATAGGCACCGCTCTGGTGGGAAGGTAAACGGCGTGCTGCTCTGGTTCGCCAGAAGCGGCTTAGTCATGCTGGCCACATGACCCGGAAGCTATACGCCGGCTCCCTCGGCCAATAAAGCGAGATGAGCGCCGCAACCCCAGAGTCGGCCACGACTGGACCTAATGGTCAGGGGTCCCTTTACCTTTACCTTAGGCGAAAACCAAATGGCTGGTGCCAATTTGCCAAGTGGAAAAATTCCTACCTGGCCCCACCAATATGGCGGTCGACATTAGTCCATAGCAAGATCACTGTCCTAGCAATGCATAAAAAGAGGGCAGGTGGGCTGGGAGATCTGGCAAGGAGATGAAAGGAGGAGCCGCCCCTCCCAGCCACGCCACAGTTTAAACAGCCTGAAGCCACGCCCCCAGCTGAGCCGATTGGTCAGCCGGGGGCGTGATGCAGTCAGGAGTCCTTATGATGTGGGTGGCATCCCTCTGCGCTCCAGCTGGGTCACTGGGGGTTCCAGATGCCCTGCTGCAATACCGCCCACCGGGGAAGGTGAGCAGACTTCTCAGAGCATGGAAAAGGAGTATGCAGAAATGTACAGAGACACCAAGTAAGTGCGGTAACTTGATTCAAATCTA